AGTAAATCAACAGGGAGTTACCAGAAATTCAAGCTGGATTCAGAAGAGACTCTGCACAGGAGAATTATTGCTAATGTCAGATGTTTCTTGGCTGAGAGCAGAAATACCCGAAAGATGTTTTTTTGTGTTTTATTGATTATGCAAAGATTTTTGATCATGTAGATCATAACAAGTTGTGACTAACATTGAGAATAGACATCACAGAACATTTAACTATGTTCGTGTAAAACCTTTACATAGCCCAAAAAGCAGTTGTTTGAACAAAATAAGGGAACACTGCATGGTTTAAAATCAAGGAAAGGTATAGCCTTTCTTCATATCTGTTCAGTATGTATGCTGATTAAATTATTCAAGGAGGTAGACTCTATGAAGAATGTGGCAACAGAATTGGAGGTAGATTCAACCTATGTTCTGCAGATGACACAACCTTTCTTACAGAAAATGAGAAGAACTTGAAGCACTTAATGGAGAAATCAAAGACTGTAGCCTTCACTATGGGTTACATTTCAACATCAAGAAAACAAAAATCTTACCACTAGACTAATAGGTAACATGAGGATAGATGGAGAAAAGATTTAAGTTGTCCAGGATTTCATTTTGTGTGTGTGTACTATCAAATTGTATCTGACTGGTACAGGAGGAGATTGCCCTTCCTTCTCCGCAGAGCATCTAGTGGATTTGAACTGCAAAATTTCATTTTACTTTTATCCACTATCAACACCTGTGGTAACAACAGTGAGGAAATCAAGATGTGTTGCATTCGTGTTAAAGAGCAAGGTTGTCAGTTTAAAGACTAAGGTACAGCTGATCCTAGCCTTGGTGTTTTCATTTACTTTTTATGCATCTAATTGGGTAAAGAATGAGGAAGACCAAAGAAGAATCAGTGCTTTTGAGTTATAGTGTTGGAGAAGAGTATTAAATATATCCTTGATTATCAAAAGAACTGCTCAGGTTTCTATTCTGTCAGGAACCTCACTCAAAGGTGCTGAAGAGCAACAATGTCACTCTGGAGTCTAAGGTGCACCTGATCTAGGCCATGATATTCACCGTTACTTGCTATGCATCTGAGGGCTGTACAATAGTTCAAGATCATAGAAGGATCAATGCCCTTTGAGTTGTGGTGCTGGAAAAGAGGATTGAACATACCATGGACTTCCAGCAGAACAGATCTGTCCTTATGAGGGTGAAACCATGCTGCTCCCTGGAGGCAAGGGTTTTGAAGCTCTTTCTCACATACTTTGGGTGCACGTGGCCAGGAGGGACCAGTCCTTGGAGAGGGACATCCTGCTTGGAGGGTTGGAGGGACTTGGGATGAGAAGGATTGACTCAGTGACTAGAGAAATGGGCTTAGATGTGTTGGAGATGATGAAATTGGCTCAGGATAGGGCAGGGTTCAGAGCTAATATACATAAGGTCACTGGGAGTTACAGGCAACTTGATTGCACATAGCAACAACAACAACCAAAAGAACAAACAAATCTCTTGTAGGAAGTATAACCAGAGTGCCTGTTAACAGTAAAGAAAGTGAAAACTTATTCTCACTTTGTAGTGTTAAGAGTTTATTGTTCAAAATTACTTTTCCTAGCCATTGAATTTGAATTTGCCATGTGGATGGGCAGGAATATGTGACTATGGTATGTCAGCCTCTCCACAAGGGAGATTGGCTAGTTTCACCACTAAATTGAGCAGATTTGATGGCAAATTCAGAGTCTCATAACCAGCAAAGAAGCAGGCGTGCAGTGTATACCCTTCAGGGCTGGTGATTCTCGCACCAGCTAGACTGAGAGCAGCAGAGGCCAAATCAGAGGACTGACATGAGATGGAGCTGACCTTGGGACTGCTTCCTCTCCCAGACATAAGCAGAGCTGAGAGCCATAATTGGCAAGACTGAGAACTTTGTAACACTGGCCTAAAGCCACAGGACTCAAGGCTGAGGTGCCTGTGAGCATATTTCGGAAGCTGTCCTGATTGTATTTTGCTAGTAACCTAAATTATAGCCATTTTCTTTTCCCCCCCAAACTTCTTTTTGTTCATAGTTGCACATTTTCTTCCCTCTCTCTCCCCCAGCCCACCCCACAAGTTCCCCTTGTTCCACACTGTTGTCATACATATAATACCTAATCATATATTCCTTTAAGACAGTTTGTCCCCTCATCTGTTCTATTTGTCCCTTCATCTGTTCTGTTGCATTATCTACCTACTCTTTTTTTTACTGATTTTTTGCATAGATTGTATGTGGATGTTTTTATTGAAAGATCTGTTGGAATTTCTGTGGATAATACATACCTCTCCATTTTTTCCCTCAGTATGTCTTAAAATTTGTTATTATAGTCAACAGATTTATCATCATACCCCCATACATTGAAACTTAGTCTTTCACGAAAAAAAGGATGAAAATGAGGCTTAGAAAGATCCAATAATAGAAGAAAGCTCTACTGGATGACAGAATCTAGATTGAAAAGGAAGTAATCAAAAGTCAAGCACCAGGCTTTCGTGAGATTTACTAGATATTATGCTGCAAAGAAATAAATGTTAAATCCATTGCTGTCCATCTACCTACTATTTTGACTCCCCCAATATGGTTCTGTATGGTGTGTGAGCTATCACATTGGATTTTGAGCTAAGAGTGGTGTTGAGATGAGTAGAAAGAGGTGCCGGAATGTGGAAGACCTGTCTGACCTTGTGGAAATAGGTTTTGTGTTGTTGATGTTACTGATGGGAACAGTTCCCCTTTGTGGAGCTGGTAAAGGTCAGATATGTGCCTCCCCACATGACCTTTGCTTTTGTGCACACTTACTTTGGACATATTTTCAAGAGGAACCAGTTCCAAGAGAGAGGCATAGTGCTAGAAAAGGTAAAATGTTGAAGAAAGAGATGGATTGACATGGTGATTACTGCAGTGTCTGGGAAGGGTAAAGGATCTGTGAAGGAGAGGAAGACCCTCAACCAAGTGGATTGACACTGCAATAAGCTCTTGTGTGTCAGGAAGTGTGAGGATGGCTCAGAGTAGAACAGCATTGTGATCTTTTGTTCATATGCTTGTTATGAGTCATACTTATCTCAATGGCACCTAACAACAATGATAACTTCTTTAGAGACTTTCCTTAGCCAACTCTCCCAGCACCCTAATGCTAATTTGTAGAATGAAATTATCTGAATTTAAAGGAAGAGTGAAATTTAAATTATGCTATTGAATTCGTTCTGTGTAAGTTTTATGGTTTTAGTTACTGAATTTGTCTCCCCTCTCTAGCTCAGAGGCATATTACTATTTCAGTGTTAGTTCTTGTTCTTGTGCCGTCGAGTTGCCTGCGACCCTATGTACAGCAGCTCTGAAGCCTGCCCTGTCCTGAGCCAGTCTCAATAATTCCAGCACACTAACTTCCATTGCCTCATTTACTGTGTGTCAATCCACCCCATCTGGGGTCTTTCTCTTCTGTTCTGTCCCTCTTCCCTTCCAAGCATGATGGCCTTCTCCAAGGACCTGTCTCTCCTGCCCATATGCCCAAAGTATGTGAGATGTTGCTTCAAAATCCTAGCCTCCAAGGAGAAACTTGGTTTCACCCGTCCAAGACAGACCGATTTGTTTTCATGGCAGTCCATGATATGTTCACTCCTCTTCTCCAGCATCATACTCAAAGGCATCTATTCTTCTGCCTTCTTTAGTCATTGTACAGCTCTCTGATGCATAGCAAGTAATTGCAAAGACCTTGGCCAGCATTAGGTGCACCTTAGTCTCTAGACTGACATCGTTGCTTTTCAGTACTCTGGAGATGTCCCTGACAGCAGATTTTCCCAAAACAATTCATCTTTTGATTTCCTGACTGCTGGTGCCAAGAGCATTAACTGTGGATCCCAGTAAATCGTAACCGTTAACAACCTCACTCTCTTCTCCATCTATCATGGTACTTCCAGTTGGCCCAGTGGTGTCTTCTTGATGTTAAGCTTCCATCCATATTGAAGACTACAGTCCTTGACCTTCTGCAGCAAGCGTTTCAGTTCCTTCTCAATCTCAGCAAGCAAGGTTGTGTCATCTGTATAACGTTGGTTGCTGATGAATCTTCCTCCAATCTTGATGCCACATTGCTCTACATAAAACCCAGCTTCCCAAATGATCTGTTCTGTGTATAGACTGAAAACATATGGAGAAAGGATACATTCCTGATGCACTTCTTTTCTGATTTTGAACCATGCAGTGTTTCCTTGCTCTGTTCTGAGAACGGCTTTCTGGTCAAAGTATAGGTTTCACATAAGCACAATCAAGTGTTCTGGGATTCCCATTTTCCTCAAGGTTAGCTGCAAATTGTTGTGATCCACACAGTCAAATGCCTTTACAAAGTCAATGAAACACAGATAGACATCCCTCTGGTACTCTTTGCTTTCTGTCAAGATCCATCTGACATTGGCAGTAATGTCTCTAGTGCCACGACCTTTTCTAAAAAGTAGACACTAATAAACTGCTTACTTAGTCATTGTTGTTGTTTTTTACCACGAGTTGGAACCAACTTTATAGCTGACCCTCTGGCAGGTTTTCAGAGGCAGTTAATAAACACAGGAGAAGATTGCCCATTCTTCTATTACAGACAGCTGGTGGATTCAGACTGTGCCTTCAGGATTGCAGCACAATTTCTTGCAACTAGGCCACCATAGCTCCCTACTTAGTCACTAGCTATAACTTAAAAATTCTGTTTTGTCACATCACTTAGAGAAGAAAAACTCACTTGCACTCAGTCATTGCTGTGAATTTGTAACCGACTCATAGCTGACCCTCCAGGGAGTTTCCAGAGTCTATAAATTGCTGGCGAGCAGATTGTCCATCTTTCTTTCACGGAGCCACTGCTGAATTTGAGCCATAGATTCATCTATATTGTACAGTGTAAATTAAATAACATGTTGCAGTTTTTGACACTCCAGATAATGAAAAGGTATAGTCCCTAATAGAAATTCCCACATACTGATTTTATTGAACTTTTTTCTTTATTGTTTTTTCTGTTTTCCCTTAGAACTCACTGAGCAGCAGAAAGAATTTCAAGCTACTGCTCGGAAGTTTGCCAGAGAAGAAATAATCCCTGTTGCTCCAGAATATGATAAAACAGGCGAGGTCAGTATCTTTTCTCTTTAATTTTTATGAAGTTTTGAGTAGAGGTATACAGGGGGAAATGGGTGGTGTATATATTTTTTTCCATTGGATAAATGTTATTTCTCCATGTTATTTTAAAAGAAGTTTTTCTTGCTAATGTGTTTTGTTTTCATTTATGTACCACTGGGCCAATTGGCAGCATTATTATGGATGGTGAAGAGTTGAGATTTTTAACAGTTTTAGTTTGCTTGGTTCCACAATCAACATTCTTGGTACCAGCAGCCAGGCAGTCAAGAGAGGAATTACACTGGGAAAGTCAGCTGTCGAGTACTGAAGAGCAATGACATAAGTCTGGAGACTAAGGTGCACCTGATCCAGGCCATAGTCTTTACAGTTGTGTGCTATGTGTCAGAGAGCTGGACAGTGACTAGGGAGGATAGAAGGAGAATTGGTGTCTTTGTGCTGTGTTGCTAGAGAGAGTGTTGAATATACCATGGACTAGAAAACAAACAGCTTTGTCCTGGAGAGGGTGAAACCAGGCTGCTCCTTGGAGGCAAGGATTCTGAAGCTTCATCTGACATAGTTTGGGCATATTGCAAGGAGGGTCAAGTCCTTGGAGAGGGACATAATGTTTGGGAGGGTGGAGGGATGGTGCAGGAGTGGAAGACACTCGATGATATTGATGAGTTCAGTGATTGGGGTAATGGGAGTAGGTGTGTCAGAGACAGAGAGGTTGACACAGAATAGAGCAGAGGGTTTAGGGATCTTGTACATAGGGTCACTCTGAGTCACAAGTGACTCGCTGGCATGTAACAACAATATTGTGTTTTACACATTTCTCTATTCACATTGTGTTTCATATGATCATTCTCATACATTATGATTTATAAAATTAGTCACTATTGATCTATGCTCACTTTGCAGGTCCCCACTGGATCTTTCCTAATTTCTTCACTCTCTCCCTCTGCCCATCAAACTCTGTTACCTCATGATCTCCCCTCTCTCCTCGCCCTCAGGCTCCCTCCCTCCCCTTCCCCCTGTGGATTTTGTACACCTCTTACTAGTAATCCTTCTGTTTTTTCAATATTGGCTTTATCCAGAATGTGTTATTATAAAACTCAGTTAGTTTGCTCATCATAATGCTCTCCAGCCTCTCTCATGGTATATAGTATTTTTTAAAATCATTGCTCCTGAGTTCTGCATAGTGGTTTGAATGTACCACAATTTCTCAATCATTTGTTGATGGACATTTGGATTATTTTCATATGAATAATGCTGCTGTGAACACTAGTGTACAAATCTCCTTTTGTGTCTCAGTTCTATTTTCCCTGAGGTATATTCCTAACAGTGGGTCAGGTAGAATTTCTATGTTCAGGTTTTGAGGAAACAGCAGATTGCCTTCCAGAATGGTTGTATAATTTTACAGTTCCACCAACAGCATATGAGAGTTCCAATCTCTCCACATCCTCTCCAACATTTATCGCTTGCTGTTCAATTAAACTTGTCATTGCTAATGAGGTGAGATGGAATCTCATTGTGGTTTTGATTTGCATCTCTTTATTTCCAATGATTTTGAGCATTTCTTCATGTCTTTTGGCCATACGACTTTCTTCCTCTGTCTTTCCATGTCTTTTGGCATTTTGTAATTGGATTATCAGTATTTTACGTATGGAGGCCCTGTAGTATTCCATAAACTCATTATGAGACCCTTGTCTGAGACACCATTGACAAACGTTTTTGCCTAGTCAGTAGGTTTATTTTTCACCTTGCTGGTAAAAGTTTTTCATGCACACAGGGATTTAATCTTTAGGAAATCTCATTCATCAGTGTTATCCTTTCCTGGTTATGCATGTACATTTTTTAAGAAAAGAAAAATCTTTTGCACTTTTTATAGTATCCTATAATTAAACTATCTAATTATAGATATAATTTTATTTTCAGTACCCTGTCCCTCTAATTAAAAGAGCCTGGGAACTTGGTTTGATGAATACCCACATTCCAGAGAGTTGTGGTAAGCCATTTCAAATGAACAAAATTAATATTAGAACTCTACTCATAGTCTTTCAGATGTTTGTTTTCCTTAAATGGCTTTCTACCTTTGTATCCTTGTCCAGACTTCACTATTTACCTGTTTTTAGAAGCTCTGTCCTCAAAGTTGTCCTTAATCACAACTGGTTCCAACCTTACCTTGATCCCTAGCTTGAACCTTTGTATCTTTATCATTAGAGTTGGTTAATTTATTACATTTTAATCCTACCGTCAGTTTTAGATTTTACTGGTAATTTTTTCATGTGAGATTATTTGTTCTTTCCTAAATCAAAAAGTAACAGTCCTTGAATCAAACTATTATAAAAATTTAGATTAAACAAATTCTAAGTAGCCAGAGTTTTTTAGAATACTTAAAATTTATTTTATAAACGTAAACTTTGTCTCAGTGCCAGCCAGTACCCTTTTTTTTGGTAGCTTTTCTTGTGTTATAGATACTGTTTTTGCACGTTCGCTTCTGTTAAATACTGGAAGTAATGAAAATAACTCATTTTTGTTTCCAGAGAGATATACTATATATTATTATAATCGAATCTTTCTTAAAACATTTTGATGCTATAGGAGGCCTTGGACTCGGAACTTTTGATGCTTGTTTAATTACTGAAGAGTTAGCCTATGGATGTACAGGGGTCCAGACTGCTATTGAAGCAAATTCTTTGGGGGTAAGTTACTTAGAAAATTAATTGCCTAACTGAGATACTAAGGTGATGGTTAACTACTGGGTTCGGTTGCAAGGGAGAACTGGGGATGAATGTTTGTGGATATTCATCTATAAATGAAAATTTCACTGTGGGACTCCCCCACCCTGTGACTATGTTCAAAAGTTAGAAAACCTTTAGAAAATACTTAGTTTCAAAGTTTAATGATTTTTTTCCTTCACTCATCCTTTTTTATACAGACTTCTTCATTTTGTTTTTATTTGCAATAGTTTATACAATTTTGGCCTTGGAAAGTTTTCTATTTGCCTTACTACCAAAGGATTATGAATTTGTGTTGTCTTCTCATAAATTTATCTTTTTGCTTTCTTGAATCAGTCATGTGGCTTATATTTCCTGTGCAAAATAAATTTGTAGTAAAAGTATTACTCAATGGAATGCAATTTTCTTTAAAAAAGGAACACAGAATTTTGCAGGGAAGCTTGGCATTTTAACAAGAGTGTGGTCATTCCAGCACTTGGAGTCCTGTGTGTCCTTGTGAAGAAACTGGAGACTTTGGCTGCTACTTCCAGGGCAATTCTTAAATTAGTCCAGGGCTTACAGCCAGCTTTCGGGAATAGATCAGTATGGCTTGTTGTCAATTGTGGCAGTACTGAAATTTAGTTAGCATTTTTTTATGAGGCCTGTTTCATGCATACAGAACTCTGGTGGTATAATCTCTAGTAAATTTTGAACTAACAAAGGCTAAAAGTTTTTAGTGGTTCAAACTCCCAAAGCAGTTCCACAGGTGAAAGTTAAAGAGTCTTCTCCTTTTGTAATTTACAGCTTCAGAAACCCAGTGGAGGGTTACTGTGATACTGTGGTACCAACTCAACAGCAATAACTTAGTTACCATACATGCCAAGTCACTGGTCCCAAATTTAATTATTTGTCGTACATTTACTATAGTAGACTTGTACATATCACATTACTAACAAGTCCATAGGGAGCTCTATCCATGGTGGCCTAGAGGGTAAGGAGTCATGTTCTCAATTCCAAAGGCAGGTTGTTCAAATCCTCCAGCTACTCTGTGGGGAAAAGATGGACAGTCTCCTCTCATCAGATTTATAGCCTCTGAAAACCCACTGAAGGGTTAACTCCAAATTGGTTCCTGCACCTTAGAAATAAATGGCTGTTTGTCTGACTGAACAGGGCGTACATAAAATTTGTATAGTTTAGAATATATTTAAAATAACAGACTTATTTCCTCATGCTAAAGTTCTGTGATTTAGAGTCAGAGTAGAGTCTAGTTCTTTGACCCCTTGAGAAGAAAATACTTAGTTTGTGATTCTCACCGCTGGACCAATTGGCAGCATCAGGATGGATGGTGAAGAGACTGAGATTGTACACAGCTTTAGTTTGCGTGGCTCCACAGTCAACAGTCTTGGCACCAGGAGCCAGGAAATTAAAAGATGTATTGTGATAGGAAAGTCTGCTGTTAGGGACCTCTCCAAAGTACTGAAGAGCAACAGTGTCTCTCTGGAGACTAAGGAGCGTCTGATAAAGGCCATGGTCTTGGCAATCACTTGTTAGGCATCAGAGAGTTGGACAATGACCAAGGAGGATAGAAGGAGAATTGATGCCTTTGAGCTGTGGTGCTGGAGAAGAGTATTGAGAGTATCATGGACTGCTAGGAAAACAGATTTGTCCTGGAAAGGGTTAAACCGCGCGGCTCCTTAAACCGGAGGCAAGGATTCTGAGGCTCTGTCTAACATACTTTGGACATGTTGTAAGGAGGGACCGGTCCTTGGAGAGGGACATCATGCTTGGGAGGGTGGAAGGACAGCGCAGGAGGGTGGATTGATTCAGTGACTGGGGTAATCGGGATGGGTGTGTCAGAGACCATGCGATTGGCACAGGACAGCAGGGTTTAGGGCTGTTGTACATAAGGTCACTATGAGTCGCAAGCAACTCGATGGCACATAACAACAACAACGTCTATTAAATATCTTGCTTTTTCTTTAATGTTAATTTCTTGTAGCAAATGCCTGTTATTATTGCTGGAAATGATGAACAAAAAAGGAAGTATTTGGGGAGAATGACTGAGGAACCACTAATGTGTGTGAGTATATATAACTATTGCTTAATTTCACATTAAACAGAAGAACAAAAATGCTGGTTCTCCTTTTTCATCTATATATACATTTTGGACCATAACAGATTAGGGAAAATTCCAAGGGTAATGCTGAGAATTTTGTGAAAGAAGTAACAGATATAGGTGCAGTGGTGTTTCTTAGATGCAAAATAAAATGTCTTAATGTCATTGCTAATTCTAGGAGGGATAATTTCTTAAATGGAATCCTTTGCAGGTTCAAGGACTAAGTGGATCTTAGATTATGACTATTGGACAGTAGCTGTTTGAACTAGTAAGAGAGAAATGTTTAATATGTAACTGAAGATAGAGCAACTTTTTTCTTGAATGGTTGGTAACTAGGAGAGAGAAGTTACAGATTTTAATAGTTTCTCTGAGACTAGTCAGCAAACTTTCTAATTGAGTTTTTAAAACAGATACATAAATATATATACTCTGAGGTTGTACTCCTCAGTGTTTTTACCTACTTGTTTATTATTTCCAGATACTTGGGTGTATGTGAGGTTTGATTATGTTACTGAAATAGATTAAGTTACTAGTTTGAGCTAATTGAAAGAGAGTACAAAGATCATTTTTTAACTTTTATGGCGGTTTGAGTCAAAGTTTACAAAGATAATTAGTTTTTCCTGTTCATATACATGTTATTTTATGATATTGAATGCAATGCTCATAATATAACCTCATTGTTCCCACTTCCTACCCATTATTCTTATTCCTGTTAATTCTTGTATTTTTCCTCTTCCTGTCTTCTTAGCTTTATTCTTCGACAAATAGCTGTTCTTTTGATCTAGTGTAGTTGATTATTCTAAAGAATGTCTCCCTGATATAACAGGAAGACACTCTCTTACCTGCTTCTGTGGTTTGGATGCAAGTTGAGGCATTAGGGTGAGTTTTGTTCCAGATTCAAAGGGTGACTAAGGGCTGTAGTTTTAGGAGTTCCATCATTCTCTGTTAGAAGAGGAGGAGAGATTAGAAAGTAATATTTTAAAATATTTTTTTATTAATTTCAAATACCTAAATTTCAAGCATACTGCTTAATAATGGTATTTGTCCATATTTCCTAGGTAATTGGTAATATTTTCCCACAAACAGAGTTTAGCATTCTCATTACTGCTTACGACTTGTCCTGCAACACAAATACTAGGTCTCTGATAGTACAAGTAACTGCACTCATCTGCTAACCTAAGGTTTGATGGTTCATACTTGCCCAAAAGTTCCAAAGAAGAATTTCCTGGCAATCTGCTTCCTTAAAGATTTAGCTCATAGCAATCCTTTAAAACAAAGTCAGAGACTCGAGACTGCCCTCTCGAGTTTGTTGGCCTACAAAACTTTACAGAAGAGACTTCATCAACCTTTCACAGAGCAGTTGGTGAATTCAAACCACTGATGTTTGGCTTGCAGGTCACATTTATCTAGTGTGCATTTATCTCTCTCTCTCTCTCTCATTCTCCCCAAAGTCCAAATACCACAGACATACATATCCTTACACTTCATAACCTCTAAAACTATTACCTTATTATAAAACAGGGTAATTTCTAACAGCTTGTGGGAGATCACAGATGGAGATAAATTTCCAAATATGATTGTATGATACTGTAGTGTGCTATGTATACCAGACAGGCAGATTTAAGTACTGTAATGTACTTTATATATAGGACAGGCAGTTTTTTTGCTAAATCACCACCATGTTTGAGCAAGCACAGTATGGTTCTGCTCAATTAATATTATGTTACCTGAGCACAGATACATAGTGTGATAAGGTTAATGATTCTTGCACAAGTGTGTCAGGATGTTACCTTTGTTCTGAGTACTACAGGAGCTCTCTAGGAAAGTTCCCACTTTGGCTCACAGCTCACCTCTTCTCCACAGTCTGTGTGAACCAGAATTAAGTGATGTCTAAGCTTCCCTCATGCTTTTTTCACATTGGCCCCTGAACCTGAGCATCTGTCTTTTGGCATGTCGCCATGGTTAAAACAAAATTCCAAAAGAATTTTCCTTCCCGCAGATCTCATTTGTTGAATACTTTATTCTGTAATAGATCTATTATTGAGTCTTATTAAGGATAGTAATCTAGTTTCAGGTAACCCTTTTGACATCTGAAGCTTTTCTAAAACATCCCTCTCAAAAGTTCCTATAAATTACGTTTTTATATTTCAGGTGCCTGGCATTACGACTTTCTGAAGCAGGTCCATTTTGGACACTCCTGAGCATTAGAAAACTCTCTTCAAGATTGAATGATTGCTCCTTTCCTTTTTGAGACTAGATTAAAGCATCATTTTCTTCTGATAAGATTTTCTTAGTATCTTAAGCTAGTTTCTTAAGTCCCTTGTGTATGTATGCCTTTCACACTAGATACATATTTTCTATTTAGATCATTTAAAATGCTCATATAAAACACAAAATCACTTGTTTCAAACTAGAAGAATTAGCATTTATGATTTTATCTTGTTTCCATACTTTCAAGGCTTACTGTGTAACAGAACCTGGAGCTGGCTCTGATGTAGCTGGTATAAAGACCAAAGCAGAAAAGAAGGGAAATGAATATATTATTAATGGTCAGAAGATGTGGATAACTAATGGAGGAAAAGCTAATTGGTATGTGAGTTACAAAATATCTGTATATTGTTTCTTAATTACTTTATAATCCAGATGTCCTCTCTAGTCTTTCCTTTCTTTTTAAACTATCGCAATTATGATACCTCTATTTTTGGAACTGAAAACTCTATAATCAAAACCCAGTGCCATTAAGTCAGTTCCAATGTTAACAGCCCTGTCGAACACACAAGAATTGTCCTACAGAGTTTCTTGGTGCTATGAATTTTTATGGAAGTGGACTGCCACATCTTTCCTCCCTGAAATGGCTGGTTATTTTGAACTGTCAGCCTTTTGATTCACAGCCAGTGCTTAATCTACCATCTCACCAGGTTTCCTGGGAAGTCTCTAAGAGTAAATGGTTATGTGATTATTCTGAAGTTCCTGAACTAATAACTCCTGTTCTGATTAAATCTCATAGTTAAGACTAAAGGTCCATCTGCTTGGCCTAATAGCTCCTCCATTACCTAGTCACTATTCCAACATCTTTTTTTTTTTAATTTATTATTAATTTCAGTAACAATTTACAGAGACTTTGGATTTCCATTGCACTTTTCTCCCCTGCCACCCCCCCGCCCCAGTACACTACCTTCTTGGAAAAGTAAAAGAAAAATTCTTTCATTATTTTAGAAACCCTCCCCCAGGTCCACTCCACCATGTAGCCTTCGCTCTAGACTCCTGTCATGACAAAAATACCTAATCACATACCCCTTTTAAACAGTTTTCTCCCTTATCTGTTGCAATGCAGTATACATCTTTCTCAGTCTCCCCCCCATCCCCGATGTTAGTCCTGTTTTCTAACAGTGGCACCATGCAATCAGTATTTGTCCTTTTGTGACTGAGATACTTCATTCGGCATAATGTCCTCCAGGGTCACCCATTTTGAATAATATTACACGAGTTCCTTGTTTTTCAGTGCAGCATAGTATTCCATTGTGTGAATATTCTACAGCTTCTCTATCCATTCATTTGTTGATGGGCACTTAAGTTGTCCAACATCTTTTTTTAAATCCTGCTAAGCCACTGAGGGAAAATGGACAACATTAGTATACCACAGATTTGTTATTCTAAGCATTAAATTAGAAGCAGTCTTAAACCTTATTTTATAGTCTAAAGAAAATAAAAATTTGCTTTAAAATAAAAGGTCTAATAATAGTTATGAACTTCAGCAAATAATAAATCATTGTCTAGTTACTGCATTTTCTTACTTATATAATAATTTTTAAATTTAAAATTTTTATATTATAAAATATTCATATTTTCATACTTTTATAAAATACCAAAAGGTGTATTTAAACGTCTTTGGGTAGGCACAAACAGTTTACATTCATCTAACGTGGGGATCATTTGGGAGACTTGACTTTATGAGGAGGAATGTGGCATTAGGATTAGAAGGAGACTCAGCAACAACTTGAGTTATACAGATGACACAACCTTGCTTGCAAAAACTGAGGAGGACCTGAAGCATTTGCTGCAGAAGGATTGTGGTCTTCAATGTGGATTGAAGTTCAACATAAATAAACAGATTCTGACCACTGGGCTAATTGTCAGAGTCATGATGCAGAAGAGATTGAGGTTGTTAATAATCTCAGCTTTCTTGATTCCACCACCAACACTCTTGGCATTAGCAGTCAGGAAATCAAAAGACAAGTAAATTGGATTATGAAAGACTGCTGTCAGGGACCTCTTCTGAGTGCTGAAAAGCAAAGATGTCAGTCTAGAGACTAAGGTGCACCTGATCCAAGCCATGGTCTTCACAATTACTTGCTATATACAGTAGACCTGGACAGTGACTAAAGATGACAGAAAATGAATCAGTGCCTTTGAATTGTGGTGCTGGAAAAGAGTGTTGTCCTGGAGAGAAGAAATCAAGCTGCTCCATAGAAGCAAGGATTTTGAAGATCCATCTCCTATACTTTGGGCACATGGCCAGGAGGGAGCAGTCCTTGGAGAACATCATGCCTGAAAAGTAAAGGGACAGCACAGCAGAGGAAGACCCCACATGAGATGGATAGACTCAGTGACTGGAGAAATGGGAATAGGTCTGTTAGAGACCAAGAGATTGGCTCAGGATAGGGCAGGGTTCAGAGCTCTTTTACAGTAGGGGTCACTGTGAGTCACAAGTGACTTGATGGCACATAATGACAACATGGGATTCAGATCTGATGTTCATAGGGTTGCTATGAGTTATACTCAAGTTAGTTCAAATGTACCAAGTAACACCATACCAAAAAGACCTGGTAATCTGGTTCCATAAAGATTGCTGTCAAGAAACCTTTATGGAAAGGGAAAAAAAAAAAGAAACCTTTATGGAGCTGTTCTGTTTGTTAACACATGGAGTAACCATGAGTCAGTATTTATTTAAAAGCAGCAGATTTGAGTTTTGGGGTTTGGGTAATACTATTTGTTCTAGAGACTAATATTAATATACAGCTGATCTAGGCCATAGGCTTCACAATTACTTGCTTTGCATCAGAAAGCTGGACAATGATTAGGGATGATAGAATGGATGCCTTTGAGCTGCGGTGCTGGAGAAGAGTATTGAATATACCATGGGCTGCTAATAGAACAAACAGGTTCGACCTGGAGAGGGCTAAACCAGGGTGCTCCTTGGAGGCAGGGATTCTGAAACTTGGGCAAGTTGCAAGGAGGAACCAGTCCTTGGAAAGGGACGTTACGCGTGGGAGGGTGAAGAGACTGTGCAGGAGAGGAAGACCTTTTATGAGATGGATTGATTCCGGGGCTGGCATAATGGGGGTAGATATGTCAGAGATAATAAGATTTGCTCAGGATAGAGCAGGCTTCAGAGCTGTTGTACATAGGGCCACTATGAGTCACAGGAAACTTCATGGTACGTAACAACAACAGCAATATTATTTGTAGAAAATAGATGAAGAAAATTTTCATGACAGGAGTCCAGAATGAAGACTCTATATTGGAGTGGACGTGAGGGGAGGGATTGCATAACAATGAGAGTTTTTCTTTTACTTTTCAAGAAGAGTGAATGGAGGGGGTGGGGGCAGGGAGAAAAGTGCAACAATGAATGACTGGAAACTCTAAGTCTCTAAACTTTCATTAAAATTAATTTTTAAAAAAATGAAAAAAGAAGAGAGATGAAGAAAATTTCCTAGTAGTCAATAATGTATCAGTTTTGAAGCTAATATCATTCAGAGTTGAAATAATAAAAATGTAGCATCAAGCAAGAGAGAAAGCTGGTGATTGTTTTGGCAATATATTTGTAGACATGCTTTGAACTGAAATAAATACAGAAGCAAGCAGTATTCTGCATTAGAAAACATGATTTGTAAGAGTAAAATGTTAAGAAAACATGTTTTTGTAGAAATAAAGTATTAAGATTTTTTGATATAGATGAATCTTGAACTTTTTAAAATCTTGTCACACAGCAGAAGAATGAGTTTGTAGTCTTCCTTCAAAAATCCTGTTTAGAATTAATGTAAAAACTAGAAAATGACAGATTTTCTTGACAAAGGGACAGACATACCAACAACAATGTTAAATCATCATGGAAAGAATGTATTTACCCATTATTAAAAGTAATGGCATTCTTTTAATGTAGTTCGTAGTATATTCCATTGTTAACCAAAAGTTGTAGAAATTTCCTAGAAAAAAACACATTTTCAGTGATTAAAATAATAAACTAAACTCTGTCGCTTGTAAAATTCTGATTATATATTTTTGTGTATGTTCATAATCTATGCAGTATTATTGGAAATAAAAGACCATATTTAGAAATGAGTCACCTCAATTACATTTTTATATTAACCCAGTTGCAATATCTATTAGTCATTTACAAGTATCCTAAATGTCCAGTATTATAGAGTGTTAATAGTATATTATTTTTCAGCATAATGTCAGTGCATAATTAAAAAATAAAATTTTAACAATATTAGTTGCAAATTTAGAAACTTTCATAATTTTAAAAACTGGTTAACTAGAACTTCCTAAGTAATATATAAAACTGAGAAAAGAATTTTTTCCTATTGTTAAATAAAACTATCAAGTAAAGGAAAATTTATTGTTTTAAGCATAGAAAATAAATTACTGTTTCTTTAAAGAAGAATATGCCTTTTTTTTTATCTCTTATACGAGGATACGTAGAGCTTGGGCTAGAATTAGAAAAATATTTTATCATTTTTTTCTCCTAATTTTCATTTCAGAATCTTTCATGAGAGAAAAGCTTGGCCACTGTCCTTTTTGCTGTCAGTTCTATTCAGGATACAACAGAAATATCTGATGGCTTTTACTTAACAAATTTATAAATATACATGAGTAATTTAGAAGTTTGCTTAACTTGCTTTCTGTAAATTCTCCTTTGCCAAATAGCTTGTTCCTTGAATAAAATTAGTTTGGAGAAAAACATACCAGTTCTAACATGCACATACTTTGAATTACTACATTACATTTATACAAAGGATTTTAATTTCTAGCTCATACTACAAAAAAAGTTGAATACTATAGGTGTTAAAAGGTAAGTCTAGATTGGACTTCTAGTTCTGCCATACTCTCTGTGTATAACCTGGGCAAGTTCTTAAGCTTCTCTGAGTCTTCATTTTCTCATCTTTAAAATGGTACAATACAAATTGGGATTATTTATTTATTAACTGGGAGAGCAAGCAACATATATTATCTACTGACATTGTTATCACTTAATATGTGTGCATTTAGGTATTTTTTGTTGGCTCGTACAAATCCGGATCCTAAGGCTCCTGCTAGTAAAGCCTTTACTGGATTTATTATAGAAGCTGATACTCCTGGAATCCACATTGGAAGAAAGGTAAGCTGTGTGAAAATAATGAACAGTAGTTTTCAAATTTACCATTACTAGTTGAAGACCATTATTATGTAAATGTTGTAAATGTTACTGTTAGAACTTTTCAGTTACTATATATATATATGCATTCAAATTGTGTTGGTGATGAATATTGAATATACTTACTGTGGACTGCCAGAGGGAGCTCTGTGGGGTAGGGAGTAGTGCTGCTGACCCAAAAGGGATGATCTCTAGTGATTTGAATCCACTAGCAACTCTATGAGAGAGATGGCTAATATCTTCCTATGTGATTTACACCCTTAAAAACCCCTTGAATACTTTATTCAATGTCACATACTTAGAGAGATGAGTGGAGGGTCAACTGTGAGTCAGTTCCAAATCTGCAACAATGAGAGGTAGAGAAATGGACTTTCAGAGGAACAGTATTTGAAAAAAGAATACAACCAGAATGTTCCTTAGAAGTGAGGGGATAAGACTCTCACTTCCTTTGATCACATGGAAAGACCAATTCCTAGAAAAAGACTTTATTTTGTTATACGTAAGGTTGTCATATGTCAGAGTTGCCCTACAGCAAAGATTACATGAGTATAAATTTAATCAGATGTTAAATAACAGTGTAGCCTGAACGAAATAGAAAAACTAATTTGAATTAGCAAGTTAAGCAAACTTCTAAATTACTCATGTGTATTTACACACTTGTCAGATATCTCTTTTGTATCCAGTCAGTCATTACCATGGAGTTGGAATCAACTTATAGGTTTTCAGAGACTGGAAATTGCACAGGAGAATTGTGCGTATCTTTCTTCCTTGGAGCAGTTGGTGAATTTGAACCAATTATAGAGCAGTTACTTTACCACTAGGCCACCAGAAGTCTTATAGCCAATCCTTTTTAGAATGGAAGCATGTTACAATAGTATTTTAAAGAGTAACATTTCCTTTGTTGTCATTGTGCTGTCGAGTTGGAACCGACCTTTAGCTGACCATCCAGTGAGTGTTCAGAGGCAGTAAATCACACAGGAGTAGATTGCCCATTTATTTGTCTCCTGCAGAGCAGCTGGTGGATTCGAGCAGTGTAGTTTCTTACCACCAGACCACCTGAGTTCCCTATAAAGTACCCTTTAAGTTATAGATTGTAAAGGTGGCTGAGACCCTAGGTATCATCTCCTTCATTCTCTTTCCTGTATATTGAAACTGAGATCCAAGTGAAGTAAAGACTTTACCATTTCATCATGTCTCCTGATTTCACTACTGCTGATATGAAGTGTGTTGAGTATAGATCCAAGTAAAATGAAGTTGTTGACAGTTGCAATCCTTTCTCTGTCCATCCTGATGTTGCCTATCAGTCCAGCGGCAAGGGATTTTGTTTCCTTGACGTTGAGACGCAATCCATTTTGAAGATTGACGTGGTTGACCTTCTGCAGCAAGTGCTTCAAATCCTCCACACTTTAAGGAAGCTATGTTGTGTTATCTGCATAATATTTGCTATACTTGTGGATTGCTGTCATGCTGAAAGCTGTGCAACTAAAGGCCAGAGGGGTCACCCATAGTGGACAAGTTTTAGTGGAGCTCCAAGATTAAGACAGACCAGAAAGAAGGATTGCTCATCCACTCCTTAAATAGCAGGTTCTTGACAGAAGATTTTTCCCAGTGCAACATTTTTTTTCTTTTGACTGCTGTCACAATGGGTGTCAGTTTTAGATCTAAGTAAAAGAAAATTCTTGATACCTTCAATCTATTCTCCATCTATTACAATGCTGACTATTGTTCCAGTGCTGAGGATTTTTTGTTTCCCTGATGTTGAGTTGTAATCTCTCTTGAAGACTGAAGTCTGGTTTTCTGCAGCTAATGCTTCAAGTCCTTTTTAGTTTTTGCAAGCAAGGTTGTATAATCTGCAAAATGAAGGTTGTTAAATGAGTCTTCCTCCATGCCTGATGCCATATTCTTCTGTAATCCAGTTTCTCATATTATTTGCTCAACTTTTAGATTTAATAGATGTGAAGAAAGGACAACCCCAATTTTAAACCATGTAAAGCTAATCGTGAACAAGATTTTACTTGCTTGTGATGTTACTTAATACTGCTCAGTATTTTCCACATTCTCTTGCAACACACTTTTTTGGAATGGGAACAAATATGACTTTCAGTCTATTCTCCAGGTAACTGTCTTACAAAATTTTTACAGTGACTAGGACTTTATGAGGAGGAGGTGCCATCAAGATTGGAGGAGGACTCATTAACAACCAGAGCACTGAAGAGCAATGATGTCAGTCTAGATACAAAGGTGCACCTAATCCAGGCCATCGTCTTCTTAATTACTTGTTGTACTTAAGAGAGTTGGACAGTGATTAAGAATGCCAGAAGAAGAATAGATGGCTTCGAGTTGTAGTACTGGAGAAGAGTCTTGAACATACCATGGACTGCCAAGAAAACAAATCAGTCTGTCTTGGAGAGGGTGAAACCAAGTTTCTCCTTGGAGGCTAGGATTTTGAAGCTCTGCCTCACTTACTTTGGGCACATGGCCAGGAAAGATTGGTCCTTGGAGAACAACATCATACTCAGAAGTGTGGACAGACAGTGCAGCAGGGGAAGACCCTGGATGAGAGGAATTGATAGAGTAACTGGGGTAATGAGGGTTGGTGTTTGGAATTAGTGAGACTGGCTCAGGACAGGGAAAGGTTCAGAGCAGCTGTACACAGGGTAACTCACTCATAGGATACATCCTAGGTGACTCAATGGCACATAACAACAATAACATATTGAAAGGTTTGGAAGCAGGAGTTACATCCACTTCCTAAATAGCATGCCTTCAGAAACTGAATTTTGATAATTATTGATTGTTGTTGATGGGCTTTCAGGCCTTTTGTTCATAGAGTTGCTATGAGTTGTGCTCAAATTGAAGGCAATCAACAACAACAGTGAGGACATCGAGGCTGTATCTTTGTTGAAACAGGTCAATTCCTGGCTATTTATTTATCTGTTTATTTTAATTTTTTTATAATACCTTTAGTGCAGCTTGTACTTCTTCAATCAAGAACTATTGATTCCTTTTGGGGGGGGTCAGGCCAGAAAGCATGAAGGTGGGGGGGAGAAGGGTGGGGAAGGGTAACAGCTGGGAGAACTGCAGCCCCTATGCTCCCCTATCTGAATTTTTATTGAGAATCATCAGGAAGGTAAATGAAGGAAAATCACAAGGAAGTAGTAAACAAAACCAAAGAATCATAGGAAAGTCTTTTGTAAATAAAGCCAAATTCTTCTCTATTGTTTGCCTTATACTTGCCTCTGGAGGGAGGGATTCAGTAAATACAAACTCAGAATTATGTAGACTCTTAAGGATTGCCTTAATGCTACAGGGTGAATTACAAATTTTATCAGCCTCCCTCCTATCCTGATATAGCATTTGGTTTATTATTATTAAATTTGATATTTGGCTTCCCACATTTCCCCCTTTTGTTTAAAGCATAATTTTGTGGCCATCAAGGTATGATTTCTTTTCTTCAGAATTCGTTCTTGCTGGCTTTTTGTTCTCTTCATCCTTTATTTATAATCAAGCAAATATAACCAATTAAGCATAATAAAATACTTCCAAAATTCACTATATGATCAGAAGGATTCAGATTGGATATTCTTTGAGAGTCTGTTTTTGTTGTCTTATAGCCACTGCTACAGTCCTTTGTCAAACCATTTCTGATTGATCTCCTTTGTCATCATGTCTTTTTTGCCATTCCCTTTCACTCCCCCCTGAGAGAGATTTCACCCTGATTCATTAAGAGAGGGGGTTGCTGCATTCTCTTAGCTACTTCCTGCTGGAAAAAGGGCGTTGTAAGTCCCAGGGTCTCTCACTACTCTATGTTAGGACTTTGCACTGGACGTAAGGTCAAGGACTCAAGGAAGGGACCAGAAAAAGATAGGAAGCTAAAGAAGCTTTATTAAAGGGTCCCCTGGGCAGGATTCATTGGTCTGCAGAGAGAGAAACAGGCAGAGGAACAGACCAGGGAAATACAGAGCCCTAAAGTGGATTAGGGCAGGTTTTATAGTAAGGGACTTTAGGGAGGGACAATCCATTGTGGTTTAGCCAGGTGGGTGGTCTTGTAGGGAGTGAATGGAGAGGCACTCCATGGTAGTTGAGGCTGTTTACTCTTTGTTGACATGTTGATATTCCTTGAGATTCCTTGAATCCTTTGTTCTCCCTTTTGACCTTGGTTCTGGCCCTGATACTCTAAAGGGCCCCTTTCACAATAGGAAACATGTAGACTATTGTGGTGTTTGATTTTGGAATTTAGATGCACTGTTATCAATTGTGCTTAGGGATACAGGTTCATATCCTTGGAGATGCATTATGTTAACATGGAACTGTCACAGCCCTGAACAAGTTCCTTTTCAGTTTCCTGGTGTCTGCAAGAGAGAGAAAGAAACTACTGCCTCTTCAGGTCTCTGCTCCAGGCGCCAAAAGGTCAACCGAAGGGAAAGACAGAGAGGGCAACACACAAGAATGGGGATTGCGCCAGAAAGCGTGAAAGCAGAGGGCTGACAGCTGGGAGAACTGCCACCCCAAGAACTATTGATTCTTAATCATTTGCTACTTCTTGAAATGTTTCCGTGTCAACTAGTTCCTTTTGGCATAATGAATCTGTATATTTCTTCCATCTTCTTTGCTGCTGCTTACTTCATTCAAGATTTTGACCATAGAATCTTCCCATATTGTAACTTGAGGTTTGAATTCTAATTCAGCTTCAGAATTTCTGAGTATACTCTTCCCTTTTGGTTTTCTAACTCCAGCTCTTTGTACATTTCATTATAATACTTTGCTTTGTCTTCTCAAGTGAACCTTTGTAATCTTCTGCTAATCTCTCTTACTTCACCGTACTCTTTGTTTGAACATTAAGTTGGAGTGCAAGTTTCAGAGTCTCTTCTGACATCCATTTTTGGATGCATATATGAATCAATTTTTAAATTCTTTGGCTTGAATCTTGTACATCTTCTGAAAAGTGACATCCTTGCTCTTTACCACCGCCGAGAAGTCCTTTGCAGAAGCTTTGCCCATATGATTTCTAGTCTGCTGCTTCCATGGGCGTTGATTATAAATCCCTTGACAACTTCGTTTTTTCGTCATTATGATGCTGCTTACTGATTTAATTATGATAATTTTTACTCTATAATGAGATATAAAGTCATCGGGGTTGGGGAGAACTTAAGAAAATGGGATAAATAATGTATACTGCATTGAAACAAACCTAATTTAATGACGCTCCAATGGCCTCATGAATAAGGAGTTGTGCTGCTAATCCAGAGACAAGTGGTTCAAATCCACCAGCTCCACCACAGGAGAAAGGTGGGCAAATTATCTTGCTTTTAAAACCTCATTTTAAAAATAAGTTGAGGAAAAGCAAAAATAGTATTTTATTCAGTTAGTTGCTAACTCTAATAACGAAACAGGGAGCTCCCGTAGCCTAGTGGTAAGAAGCTGCCCTGCAATGAGTACAGCACGCGGTTAGAATCCACCTGCTGCTCCTCGGAGAAGCAAGGGCAGTCTTCTCCCATGCAATTAACTGCCTCTGAAAACCCACTGGAGAGTCAGCTATGGGTTCATTCCAACTCGTGGCACACAACAATAACTAAACTATGATTAAAAATCCTAGATTAGCATGTATTTTACTAAATATTGTTCCTAAAACTCACTTAAAAGTGAAAATCTACACTTAAAATATTTCTTTTTGAATAATTAAACAAATTATCTTTATAAATTATACATATATGTCTACCTTTAAGCTAATATTGATTTCAAAGTTTGTGAAATACTGTTTTCAATCAAGAACTTTGTAAGTTTAGATTGTCATTATTTTAGGCTTTGTGGGACATAGGGTCTCTGTCATAGTTACTCAGTGTGGCATTAGCAAAATTGCAGTCATAACCACAGTTTAAGCAAATCGATGTTGTTCTGTTTCAATAAAGTTTTATTTGAAAAACCTGGTATATTGCACATTATAGTTGGTCAACTCCTATTATTTTTAAAAGTGTTTAAGACAAAAATGGATGCTAGCTCCTAATATATTCCTTAATGTTTTTTCATTTTCTTATTAGGAATTAAATATGGGCCAGAGATGTTCAGATACAAGAGGAATTGTATTTGAAGACGTTAAAGTGCCTAAAGAAAATGTTTTGATTGGTGAGGGAGCTGGCTTCAAAATTGCAATGGGAGCTTTTGATAAAACTAGGCCTCCAGTAAGTAAAATCAGTTGATAATCCTTATAAAATCCATTTATTACATTAAGAAGTTAAATGTTTCCTGCAATTCCAAAGGTGAATGGTTGGAATGCGCCAGATGCCCTTCTGGAAAAGGAGGGACAATGTCCTCCTGTGCCAGTTGGATCTGACTTGACAGTACACAAAAAGAGAAAAAAAATAATTATGTTAATGTTATATTCTTTCTGTGTTGAGATTTTGTTTCTTTTTAAATGCTGCCTTTATTAATGGTGAGAAATGTTACCTTTCTTTATCTTTTTGTGCCCTCAAACTCTCTGTCCTGCCCATGTTATAGAAATAATTTTAATAAGTACAAACGTAAATATAATTGCTACTGTATTTTCTGAAAGACAGTCCACATTTGCGTATCATTCCTGTTTCTATATACTAACTTCATATTCCCATACTCATCAAAACTGTTCTGGTAAATTTGCCCTAGTTAACATAGATGGAATGATTTCTCTAGTATATATGTAATTTGAGCCTTTGCACAAAAGATCCTAGACACAATTTGAGCCTGTATACAGTTGAGGCTGGCTATACAGTACTTAAAAGCAAGTACATAAGTACTTCCCATTAACTTTTAATTCGCATACCCCTTCTCTTCCTGTGTTAAACTATTGGCCAATTTATTTTTGTTGGCACATGCTTTGTTTTTCAAAGATAACATGAACTTTTGCTTTATGAAATGTTAAATTATAGGTAGCAGCTGGTGCTGTTGGGCTAGCACAAAGAGCTTTGGATGAAGCTACGAAGTATGCCCTGGAGAGGAAAACTTTTGGAAAACAGCTTGTTGAGGTAATTTAAATGCTGTGCTTGCTCTATTAAAATGTAAAGATGCTTTCTTTCATCTAAATACATGTATTTGTCACCGTGGTCCCATAACAAAAGTTTCAAACTCATAGTGACTCTCCATCTGATTTTCAGAGGCTGGAGGTTGCCTTTCATTCTCTTTCAGAACAACTGGCAGATTCAAACAGACCACCTTAGGGTTGGCAGCACAATTCCATGCTGCCTAGGCCACCAGGTTATAATAACTCAGAAACTCACATTTACTGTTGTCAACTCATTCCAGCTCATCACAACCCTCCATCTAAGTCTATAAATTCTAACAGGAAGAGAGTGCTTGTCTTTCTGTCAAGGAGCTGCTTGTCTGACGTATAGCCAGAGGAGCTCCAGCTTTGATTTATCAGAACAACGCAATGTAGGCAGTCCCACCAGAAGTCCCTTTGTTGTTGTTAGGTACCATCAAGTCAGAACCAACTCATAGCTGACCCTGCAGTGGGTTTTCAGAGGCAGTTAATCACACTGTAGGAGATTGTCCATTTTTCTCCTGTGGAGCAGTTAGTGTATTCAAACTGTATGTATTTAGGTTGATAGTGCAGCTCCTTACCACTAAGGCACCAAGGCTCCCTAAGGTTACAGTACAGAGTTCAGAAATTCTGATAGGAAAAAAAGGCATGTTGTTGAATTAACATTGCTAAGTACTAAAACCCAGAGAGATAGACAGTGACTGAGGGTGACAGAAGAAGAGTGGATGCCTTTGAGTTGTGGTGCTGAAGAAGAGAATTAAACATACCATGGACTGCTAAGAGAATAAAGAGTTCTGTCCTAGAGAGGGTGCAACCAGGTTGCCCCTTGGAGGCATGGATTTTGAAATTCTGTTTTACATACTTTGGGCATGTTCCTAGGAGGAACCAATCCTTAGAGAAGAACATCATGCTTAATCTCCCCTCCCCCTATACACCCTCATCCCTCTGCGTCCACCACCATTCCTCTATTCCCCATAGATCCTTATACTCATTCTAATGGTTTTATACCGTATTTATCCTTGTGTGACTGAGTTAATTCATTCAGCATAATGCCCTCCAGTCCCTCCCAAATTAGGTAATAATTTACAAAATTACTGCTCCGGCATGCTGCATAGTATTCCATTGTGTGAATGTACCATAATGGGTGTGCAGGAGAAGGGAGAATTAATCGTAGGGTTGTACAATTTGATGAGTAGGGGAGTGAGGAAAGTTGAAAGAATTTATTCAAATTTGTATTCAAATTTTGTAAATATTAGAAAATTAAAAAAAGAAAAAATCTTAGCCTCCAAGGAGAAACTTGCTTTCACCCTCTCCAAGACAGACCTATTTATTTTCTTGGTTGTCCATGGTATGTTCAAAACTCTTCTCCAGCACCACAATTCAAAGGCTTCAATTCTTCTCCTGTCATCCTTAGTCATTGTCCAGTCCTCTGATGCATAGCAAGTAATTGTGAAAACCATGGCCTGAAGCAGGCGAATCTTAGTCTCTAGCCTGACATCGTTGCTTCTGAGTATGCTGATATGTTCCCTGACAGCAGATTTACCGAATGTAATTCATCTTTTGCTGTCCTGACTGCTGGTGCCAAAAGTATTGATTGTGGAGCCAAGTAAGCTGTAATTGTTAACAACCTCAATTTCTTCTCCATCTACCGTTTGTGTGTCAGTTGGCCCCATGGTGAGAATGCTTTGTCTTCTTAATACTGAACTTAAATCCATATTGAAGACTACAGTCCTTGACCTGCAGCAAGTGCTTCGGGTTTGCCTCAGTTTCAGCAAGCAGAATTATGTGTCATCTGTATAATGTAGGTTGATTAATTTTCCTCCAATCCTGATGCCACATTCCTCCTCATAAAGCCCAGCCTCCCAAATGATTTGTTCTGCATATAGATTGAAAAGGTATGGAGACAGGATGAATCCCTGGCACACTCCTTTCCTGATTTTGAACCATGCATTGTATCCGTGCTCTGTTCTAAAAACTGCTTCCTGGTCCAAGTGTAGTTTTTGCATAAGCACAATGAAGTTTTCTGGGATTCCCATTCTCCTCAAGGTTAACCACAATTTATTGTGATCCACACAGTCAAATTCCTTTGCATAGTCAATGAAACACAGATATCCCTCTGGTACTCTTTACTTTCTGCCAAGATCCACTTGACATTGACAATAATGTCTCTAGTGCCACAGCCTTTTTAAAACCCAGCTTGTATTTCTGGTAGTTCTCTGTCAATGTACTGTTCCACTCATTTCTGGATAATCTTCAGCAGCATTTTGCTTGTGTGTGCTATCAGTGATCCTGTATGATAATTTCCATACTCTGTATTTTTTATAACTTCCAATTATTTTTTTAGATTTGTATGAAGTAGATCCCATGTGCCAGTTATCTTATTAGATATTTGTAGCCATTTCTCTTCATTTTGAGTCAAGCCACAGTGCAGATGAAGTCCTTCTCTGATTCAAAGCTTTGCTTCATCCACATCATTAAGGTGGACTTCACTCTGCCTTTTCCAGGCTTCCAAACTGATAGCTTCATATTCTGGCCCTATATCAAGAAATATTACACTGCTATTTATAAGGCTTTTAAGGTTCCATTATTTCAGAAGTGGATGGCCTGCTTCCTTGCCTGTCTTTATCTGGAGATTCCACTAACACCTCTTTGCTGTGGATGGTTCTAATGGTGTATGGTATTTCATAGTTTCCCAAAACAGCAGTGTGATAACAGCACCAATAATATACCTGGTCCACCCTTCTCAGTGGCACCTCCTTTTTCTATTTTGTTTTGAATTTTCCATAACTTTTTTATATTTTTGTTTGCTTGTTTGTTATATTTTGCACTATTGGCTTTCATTTGCTTTCTCTTTTTTCTAGATTTATTCCTTTCTCTCGCTGATCTTTTATTTAATTTTCTGTTTCCTCTTTTTTGCCTTTGTGGCATCAAGGGCTGATTGTTCAAAATGGCTTTCCTAGCCATGAACTGTGACTTTGACACATGACGGGTTGGATGAGAACATGTAAATAGGGTATGTCAGTCTAGCCATGATGGGTGTTGGCTAGTCTTGCCTTTAAATTGAATAGATTCAGCAGCAGAAATTAGAAATTTTAACCAAGCATGAAGAATCAGTGACATGTCCCTCAGGACCAGAGATTTGTGTGTCAGCCAAACAAGATCTACAGAGGACCAGCAGTCTCAGTAGAGAACCAGCAACCAACCTGAGGCAGAGCTGAGTTAGGAATGCTGCCTCACAGAACCAGAGACCAAGCTTGCTGGAGGCCTGAGAGAAGTCTCCTTAACTGACAAGACTAAGGGAACTTTGTCACACTGAGCAAAGCTGTGAGGCTTACGACCCAAAGCCCTGCAACCCCACTTGAGAAGCTGTGTGGACTGAAGGATTATATCCTGCTGCTAACCTGAATTGTTTTGTTGAGTCGAGCATGACTCATAGCAAATTTCATAGTAACAGATCTGAACCCTGTCCTATCCTCTGTCAGCCTCATCATTTCTAACATATTTGAGCCCATTGCTGCAGTCACTGTGTCAGTCATCCTGGTTCAGGGTCTTCCTCTCTTTTACCACCTCTACTTTTCCAAGCCTGGTGCCCCTTTCCAAGAAATAATTTCTCCTAACAACATGCCCAGAGTATGTGAGATAAAGCTTTGTCATCTTTGTCTCCAAGGAGCACTCTGGCTGCACTTTCTCCAAGACTTATCTTTTTATTTTTTTGTGGCAGCACATGAGATATTCAGTACTCTCCAATACCCCAGCTCAAAGGCATTAGTTCTCCTTCAGTCGTCCTTATTGATTGTCTAGTTCAGATACATAGCAAACTTCCTTAAAGTTTGTGTAACCATTGCAGTGGATTTCACTCGGTAAAACAGTAATATTTGGTGTTGAAATTAGTAGAAAGTAGATGCAGGAGTGTGGGAGACCACGCGTGACCTTATAGAAGTTAGTTTTGTAGTGTTGATGTTGTTGATGGGGACAGTCTCCCTTTGTGGACTTAATAGAAGTAAGACTTGGCAATTACCATATCTCCATTGCTCTTTTTACAGTCTTGTCTATTCTAACTCTCAGTCATTTTGTATCCCCCTTTTTAATTGTAGCACCAAGCAGTATCGTTTCTGCTGGCAGAAATGGCAATGAAAGTTGAGCTGGCCCGATTGAGTTACCAGAGAGCAGCATGGGAAGTTGATTGTGGCCGTCGAAATACCTATTATGCCTCTATTGCAAAGGCATTTGCTGGAGATATTGCAAATCAGTTGGCTACAGATGCTGTACAGATTTTTGGAGGCAATGGATTTAATACTGAGTATCCTGTGGAAAAACTAATGAGGGATGCCAAGATCTATCAGGTAAAGTTCAAAACTTGTTTTCATTCTTCTTGGGAGTAAAAATAACCACAAACAACTAGTTATATTTCAGAATATTCAGTTGTTGTTGTTGTTGTTAAGTGCTGTGGAGTCACAGGCAATTCATAGCGACCCTGTGAAGGAGAGTCCTCCATGGTTGGGTTTCTCTCATCCTCTCTCCAGGTTCATAGGGTTTCCGGAGGCAAGCTATTATAGAAGTGGATGCCACTCCTTCCAAGCTTGTTTTAATCAGGGAGCTCCACCCCTCTCTCTGTCCGCATTGGGTGACCAACCATTTGACACATCAGTGTCACAGTGTTCACAGCAACCACAAGTGACCACTGTACGGCAACTTGTACACCAGGGCTATACAACCTAGAGGAGTGTCTGAACAAAAATAATGAAAGATAGCCCGAGGGCTGGGGATTAAAAGTCACCCACCTTTGGTTTGATAGCATCGCTTTCTGTCCACTGGGCCAGCTTCTCTCTCTCTCTATGTCAATGTTATTGTTGTTAAGTGCCATTGAGTTGCATACGACTCATAGCGATCCTATGAAGGAGAGTCCTCAACGCTTGGGTGCTTTCATCCTCTCTCCAGGTTCATAGGGTTTCCGGAGGCAAGCTATTATGGAAGTGGATGCC